GTCGTAGAAAAGTGTTCGAAGCTTATGAAATGTTATTTTGAAAGAGAGTTTATAAATGATTTGAGGAAGAAAAAGTTCTTAGAAAGAAGAGAAGAATAATTTTAGAACAGTTTATGAGATTCGAGAATTTTATGCATAAAGTAGTTTCCAAATCACCATGTTATTGTATCTATATGAATATGTTTCTATAGTATACCTATAAATAGAAAGGTTTTAGGGATCATTTGACTCCGCGCGTTAAGAGAATTGTTTTGCTGTGTGTAATGAAATTACTCTATGTTAGTAGACCAGAATATGAGTACATGTGTGGTGTCGAGCTTTTCATAGCATCTTTCATACTTCAAGAAGAATGTTTTACATGTATTTAATTAGAAAGTATTTTTAGAGCATGTTGAAAAGTTGGTGTAACTTGGTTGTAGAGGACAGAGGGGAATGCTAGGATAATTAGAGCAAATTAGGATTCCAAATTCTAGGCTTGGGACCGTTGTCTAGAAAAAGGAATTGTTTTATAAGTTTTGTTACGAGAAGGTTTACTGAGTTTTTAGTTATTCAAGTTTTACAACATTTAAATGAGATCTATTACTTCAGTTATCAGGTTTGTTTTAAAAGCTTGAACTTCACTTGTTTATGATAAGAGTTTTTTAAGATTATTTTCTTATTAACCTATCACTCATTGACCTTTCTAACTCACTGTTTATCATATATTTTGCCCCCCAAGCTGTACTTAAGTTTAGAAAGGATAGTAGATCAGCTTCTGCCACTTCGAGTAGTTCAAGGTGTTGCATATCATTTTGTTTGTATGTATGTGTAGTGTGTTTGTAAAGAATTTTATATCTACACCTGGTTGACATAATAGAATGTTTAGATTGGACTTAAGAATGGTTGTGCAGTAAAAGATTATTATTTTATTTTGTAAGCATTTAGAGCTTGTTAGTCAAAGTTCAGGTAAAGTTAAGAAGAAGTTGACTATGAACTTCGTAGCTAGTCGGGGTAGTATGTGGTCGGTACGGCTTGTTTAGGACTAGTAGGTGTTTTGGGACGGGTTGTGTCAACCAGAGTTAGCCATTGTATCCTGCTGAGACGATCGTTGTAGTTTTCTAGCAAGGTGTGTAGAGTGAACAATTTTAATCATGTCTGGCTTTTGAAGCATCCATCAGCTATCTTTCATCACTCATTTGGAGTTCTACTGGATCAATTCGTTTGTTGTTGTTGCTAACATTGTTGCTATCATTCTGATTCATTTACAAACATATCAGCTTGTATTTCTCTTATAGCTAAATATTAGTTCCATGTATTTCTAACATATACAATGTATTTAGTTTGATTTACAATGTCTTTATCAGTTACTTTTTTGTAGCTAGTTACACTATAATATGTTTGCTAGTGTTACACAGCTAATATATACATCATTTCAATTATATAAAATATTTTGCCTTTACACCAACAATAATAAATATATAATAGGGTAATTATAGTAGGTAACAAACATATTTTATGTATTTCAAAAAATGTCAACTGTTTTCAAATTTTCAAGTATAGCAAAATATTTGAATTTTTATTTTTCAAAATTTTATTATTCCAATTTTACCCTTATGATATCTGATATATATCTAATCTATATCTGATATACATCAAATCTATATTTGATATACATCCAACCTATATATGATATACATCTGATGTATGTCTGTATCTGATATACATCTAACCTATATCTAATGTAACTCTAATATACTTCCGATATACACCTAATGTACCTCTGATATACATCTGACGTAAAATCTAGACAATACTAGGGTATTCATGAAAATAGTTTAAACCTGTAATCAAGCGAAACTCTATCAATCTAAATCTTACAAATTTTACATTTAGATTGAATATCAGTGTATCTCATAGGTTCTTTTTAGATATTCAGCGAATTATATGTACTAATAACTGTAGTGGGCATCTCCTAATATTAAATGACAGAAAGTGTCCAAATGGTTCACTTCTAAATATTTCTATTTTGGTTGGTGTTAGCATCTTGAGAATGTTATCTATTTATTATAATTTTGAATATCGTTGCACTTTTGCATCATAATATCATATTGCATTCTTCTATTAAAGTAAAACCAACATTATATCATATGTAAATAAGACTATCACATCTATAGTATATCAGATAGTCATATCAGCAGTATATCAAACAGTCATTTCAGTAGTATATCAAACACTCATATCAGTAGTATATGAAACACTCATATAAATAGTATATCAGATATACATATCAATCGTATATCACACACTCATATTAGTATTATATTATATTTATATAAGATATATTGATATGAAACACTCATATAAGGCGTATATAAGACTATGACATCGGTAGTATATCAGACATTTATATCAGTAATATATCAAATACGAATATCCGCAGTATATCAGATAGAAATCAGAGGGAAATCAAAACGTAGGATTTTCTAGGCTTGAGTTTAGGCTTGCAGGGCAACGTTGTCATTTAATAGGGCCTTCGTTTTTTTTTTTTTAAAGTGCTACATTTGAAATACCAAAATATGATTGCTATTTTGTTTATTTTGCAAATTTTTTTTTACCATATCTCAAGTTGGCCCTATATAATATTATAGTTTTAATTTCTTATTTAAACTACATGTATATAACAAAAAAAAATTCTATTCAAATATTATAATATTTCAAGTTTTATTATTAAATTTATATAGATAACTGAATCATATTTTACTTCGAACAACATATAAAGAGGGTGACAATTTGTCAACCTCAACTTAACTCAACTGGTTAAAGTATACTTAAGTTTAACTCGACTAGTACGTACCATCTTTTCCTGAAAGGTCATGAGTTCGAATTTCAATCCCACATGTTTTTGTATTAAAAAAAAAGATGTGACCATTTTGGCAATTGAATAGTAATCAAAATCTAACTTTTTTCTTTTTTTTAGTACAATATATAGAGATGAGAATCGTCACGGATCTAGAATTTTATGTTAAGGGGCTTAAATTTATATAAAGATAATTTCAAATAGAACATGTGTGCATATAGGTGTGTGTGTATATATATAGATATTAAATTGCGTAAATTGTTAATTTGTTCTTTTAACTTTAAAATTTGTTTCTAATATTGTTTCTAAACTTTAAAAAGTGTCAAATAAGTAGATGAACTTTTAATTTTGTTTTTATTAGATCTTGAACTTAAAAAATAGTCTAATATTTAGAGATATATTAAACAAAAGATTGAAAATTTGAACACTTTTTTTAATACCATTTGGACATCTGTTAGAATTTAAATGAAAAGTTTGAAGACAACTCTACTTATGGATCAAACTTATAATGTAACAAATTTGTTCGATAGAGGTTTTATTTAATTTTCTATATAAGTTTAGAAGAAAGAGAATGAAACTTATAAAGATAATTATTTTTTTATATTTATAGATATTTTAAAGATAAATTTAAATTAATTTTTTAAAAAATATTACCTACTATGGAAATGTATTAAGATAAAGATATAAAAGTCTCAATTATTTACTTTAAATGAATTAAATGAATATAAAGGAAAAAAAGGGTTATATATAATTAAAAATATATATAAAAATAAGAAAACCAAAGATATAAAGATGTTTGTATAAAGAAAATTTACAAACTTTTGTATAAAAATGACATAGAATTAAATTCTATGATTTTTTTTCCCTTTTAAAAAAATTGAGATAAGAATTTTCAATTTTGGAAGGAAGCAATGATAGAACAATAAAATTGAAATAAAGATTTGAAGATGGTAATAAAAAAATTAGATTAAAAAAAAACTAGTAAAGAATAAGTCAATTATGCCAACACCAAGAGCCGATGCCGCTAAGCTACGGGAAATATTTAAAATATTATGGTCTAAAGAAAATTTCCAAACAATTGTATAAAAGTGACATAGAATCACAAATTCTATAATTTTTTTTCCTTTTTAAAAAAATTAACAAGAATTTTCAATTTTGGGGGAGAATGATAGAACAATAATGTTGAAATAAAGATTTGAAGATGGTAATCAAGAATAAGTCAATTATGCCAATACCAAGAGTCCATGTCTCTGGAATTCACATGGATACGTCCTGAGTGGGGATTCAAACTCATGACTTTTTAATCGAAAGTAAATACTTTATCCGGTTGAACTTGATTTGAAAATCTTCTGAATACAAAAATTCTTTATATCTCTTTAGTTTTATTTATTATATTTTTTAATTTTATATAAATTATTTTCCTTTATATTCATTTAAAGTAAATAATTAAAACTTCTCTGTCTTTACCTTATGCATTTCTGTAGTACCTAATATCTTTTAAAAAATTAATTTAAATTCATCTTTAAAATATCTATAAATATAAAAAAATAATTATCTTTGTAAGTTTCCTTCTCTTTCTTCTAAATTTATATAGAAAATTTAATAAAACTTCTATCAAACAAATTTGTTAAATCATGAGTTTTATCCACGAATTTTCAGAATTGTATCGAAAGATATCTAATACATCTTCAATCTTTCAATTTGAAATCTAATAGGGGTTTGAAATTTTGATCTTTAAGATTGGCCTGTATTGTATCTCTTTGTTACGCCCGCGGTCTCATGAATGATCTTTCCTTCGAGTGCTGCTTTGCTTTCTTAATCTTCCATTTGTCAGTCACTCTTCAATCCACCAACTATTGTTTAGTCAATTTTGATTCGTTTCTTCAACAGTCGCAAACAAAAGATAATAATAAATAAAAACAACTCGTAGAAAGAGAGGGAGGAAAAACAATTTAAAATAAAGAAAACAAAATAGATAAAGGCAAAAGAGAAGTTACCAGAAAAAAGAGAGAGCTCTCCACTCCTCCATTTCTCCATCACCAGAAGCATTTTGAAGGCCTTTTCATTTGTGAGCTAAACTTTTTTATTTCTTTTTCTTCATGTCTGATACAGATGATGGGTTTTCTGAATTTTTATGAAGTGGGTTTTTTTTTTTTCTCCCTTCATTTTCTGATACAGATGATGGGATGGGATTTCTGAACTTTTATGCAATGGGTTCTTTTTTTGCTCCATTTATGTTCATTGTCTGGTTTCTTTTGACGTTTCATAATTTTGACACAGATTATTTTGGCTGCATTAACCAGTTTTGGCTACTGGGTTGTTTTCTTTTCTTTTCGATTTGCTATGTCATTTCTGCCAACTGTTACCTCTATGATTTCGAGACTTCTGCTATCAGTTCCTTTTCAAATTCCTAGTGGAAATTTTGTTGTATTTGCATTATTTCCCAACATTTTTCGTCATTATTTTCGGTTAAATTATGACATTAGTCCCCATTTCATCTATTTAATCCGTCAGCTTTAAAAAATTTGAACACAAATGTTACACGTTCATTAGGCTATAGAGTTGTTTGGCACATGATAAAAACTCGGCCAAAATTAATTTAGTGAGCATATCACATTAGAGTTCTAGCTAGTAGTGGTATTAACTATTGAGACTAAATTACAGCGTAACTCTAATTGCAGGCTCTTAATTAGAATTTTTAGAGTCGAAAGACTAAATAAGAGTCGTAATAAGGTTTATAAGATATATATGAGCTACGAAATGACTCTTCTCCTTGCTAATTGATTTTGAGATGAAATCCATGAATATTTATATGGTATCAGAATCCAACTCACTCAAACGAGCAAATGGGTTACTTGTCGAGAGGTAAAAGTGCCACCATCTTTAAGGGTGCACAAGGATCCTACATCAAAAAGACTAACAGGCCTAACAAGGTTTATAAGATACCTAGACTACTCCTCTCACTCGTTGCCAATTAGTTTTGAGATAGCTACTTATTCATAAGCTTAAAATGTTGATAAAATAAAATTTGAGTACAGCTAGCTAGTTGGAAATGACCATTTGTATTGTTTCAATTATGAATGAAAAAGAATGAGCTACTACCAAAATTGTCCCACATTTCTTTCTTCTTTTCTTCTTTGTCTTTTCATTATTATCTTCTTTATTTATTGATTTGCAGTTGTGAAAAATAGGAAGCACAAACTACAGCATGGAAGAGAAGGGTGGAATCAAGAATGATATCACTGAAGTAATATCTCTTTGTATTCAGTTGTTGAATTTTTCTAACTTGATTTTTCTTTTTTTGTTGAATTTTCCTCATTATGTTCTTCCACTTTTCTATCTGCTGTTGTTGTGGATCTGATTGGGTTCATGCAGTTAATAGGCAATACTCCAATGGTTTATCTAAGTAAAGTGGCTGATGGTTGTTTTGCTCGTATCGCCGCTAAATTAGAGACGATGGAACCGTGTTCTAGCGTCAAAGACAGGTTTAGAGTTCTTCTTTACTACAAAAATTACGCGCCCATTTGATAATATTTTCTGTTATGGTGTTTCATTTCTTATTTACAATTGCTTTGGCTAAGACTTTGTCAAGGGTTTTAAGAAAAGAAAAACTCAACAAAAGAAAATATATGTATTAGTAGATACTATAAGCTTAATTTTTAGAAAACACAAAACAAAGGCTCCATTCGGTAACCATTTTGTTTTTTTGTTTTCTTTTTCTAAAAATTAAGCTTATAAACACCTACTTGCACCTATGTGTTTATTTATTTTGTTATCTACATTTAAAAACCGTTATAAAATCTATTTGGGACTGGTTTCTGAAAGTTTTTGGGGTTTTATTGGCTTGTAATAGGGAGTGTATAGAATAGTGGAGGCTGTGTTGCTCTGCCCCCTTTTCGAGATAGAGGGATCTTGTTGTGGCGGGCTTGTTTTTTGGCTACTCGGTGGGATATTTGGATTGAGAGGGTTAGTAGAAATTTTAGGGGTTGAGAGATCATGTGGGAGATTTTGGGAGCTAGTAAGATTTAATATCTCTACGTGGGTGTCGGTTTCTAATGCCTTTCTAATTACCAGTTACGTATCGTTCTTTTGGATTAGCATAGGTGAGATTTTCATGATATGCAATCTACAAGTTTTCGATGCAGGATCGCGCACAGTATGATTCAAGATGCAGAGGATAATGGCCTGATTACACCAGAAAAGGTACTAAAAAGGAGGCTTCATTTCTGTCTCTATCATTTGAAATTAGGCCTTAAGGCACCACTCCAATTGGCAAATGCCCAAAAATTCTTTTTTTTTTTTTACATGATGTAATAAAAACAACTGCTAAATTTGAAGTGTGGACTCTTATACTTGATCTGCTACCTGATCTGCCTTTGTTTTTCTTCTTTTTTGGGATGGAAAAAGACCGTCCTAATCGAGGTTACAAGCGGTAACACGGKCATTGCTTTGGCAAGCATTGCAGCAGTGAAGGGCTACAGACTTATAGTCGTTATGCCAGCTTCGTATAGTCTCGAGAGACGAATTCTGCTTCGAGCTTTCGGAGCCGAGCTGCACATCACAGATCCTGCACTTGGACTTGAAGGACTTCTAAAGAAGGCTGAAGAGATAATGCAAGTAACACCCGATTGCTATTTTCTCAAGCAATTTGAAAATCCAGCCAACCCAAAGGTCTGTTTCTGTTTCTGTTTCTGTTTCTGTTTTTGTTTTTGTTGTCATCTCAAGAGGATTTATATAACTCTGTTTTTCCAAATCTGAATGACTCATTTTTTGTTCTTTAGATTCATTATGAAACCACTGGGCCAGAGATATGGAAAGATTCCGGAGGAAAAGTCGATGCTTTGGTCGTCGGGATCGGAACTGGGGGAACGATAACTGGTGCCGGGAATTTCCTCAAGGAACAGAACCAGGACATTAAGGTTCCCTTGTTAGTTTGCTGCTAGAAAACGAGATACTGAGGGGTCGTTTGATAACGTCCTCGTTTCTTATTTCTTGTTCCGTAACAAATTCTAAACATAAAACAAGAAATGAGACCTAAGAACATTATTAAACGAGTCATTACTATTGGAGAGATCAAATAATCTTGGTATATGTATAGGTTTATGCAGTGGAACCAGCAGAAAGTGCAGTGCTAAGTGGAGGGCAACCTGGTGAGTTCCCATTTAAACTCCAATTTTTTTTTCTGTCCAATTTTTTTGAATGGCTGAAAATTAAGACTCATGTGATAATATTTTATTTTTAATTTTTTACTTTTTGAAAATTAAGTTTATAAACCCTACTATTCCTATCAATTTCTTTGTTTTTCTTTTCTACCTTTAAAAGACGTTTTCAAAATCTAAGTCAAAATTTGAAAGCTAAATCAAAGTAGCTTTTAAAACCTTATTTTTGTCTTTTAAATTTGGCTAAAAATTCAAATGTGCTCTTAAAAAGGTGGAAAAGATAGCAAATAAATTACGTGGATAACAAGTAGAAATTTTAAAAATAAAAAACTAAAAACGAAATCGTTAGTGATTTTTATTTATGCTGCCAAATGATTTTTTAGCTAGGCTTGCTGAATGACATTTTTTATGACTAAATTATAGGCAAGCATCTCATTCAAGGAATTGGGGCTGGCTTCATCCCTCCTGTTCTTGATGTCAAAGTCTTTGATGAAGTTATTCAGGTGAAACTTCATCATATCCTCTCTTTTTATCAATAATTGTTCAAAGGAGTTTCTTTCCAATATGCTCTCTATTTTCCAATTTTCTTTTAGATATGATCTAAACAATTCAATAGATTACATCTATCGATGTCAGATGTTCAAATCCTCTATTAATATTCATGTGGTTCACCTAAAAACCAATTGGCAATAAGAAGAGTAACCCATGTCTCTCAAAATCGTGATTCTTTTGACTCATCGATCTTGGTTGAATCCCATTTTTGGACTAGACGCTAGTTTGTTTGAGCTTGTTGGACTTTGATATCATATTCATATTCATGGGGTTTCATCTCAAAACTAATTGACAAAGAGATGAGTAATTCATATCTATTATAAATCATTGTAAGGTTGCTTTTCTTTTCAACGTGAGATCCTTAACATCCTCGTCCCAAAATAGGCAGAGTCTTTCCCTCAAAATTATAAACTAACATTCGAGCCCTTATACCTTCGATGTGGAATAAACCAACAATCTTTTCATCTTCCCCCTCCTACATTTGAGTTAATTCTCAACAGCGTCCCAATCTCATTTTCCTGAACTTCTAATTGTGTCTAATAGGTAGTTGAACTTTAAAAAGTGTCTTGTAAGTTAAGGATCTATTAAGTAAAAAATTAAAAGCTCGCTCGGGATTTCTTGAATGTGTTAGAACGATTATGTTTTTCTACTCTTTCTTCTAATATAGCATTACAAGTAGGCAGCCATGTCCTTATTTGAGATATGAATTTGGGTTTTTTTCAGGTATCAAGTGAGGAATCAATTGAAACTGCAAAGCTTCTTGCATTAAAGGAAGGCCTGCTTGTATGATACTAAATCTCTTTGAGACCTTTATTTATGTACTTTTGTGAAAACATGGATTTATTTATCATCATCATTATTATTATTTTTTTTTTTGGGTTTGAGGTTGATGATTTGTTTGCCCTTCTTTTTTAGGTGGGGATTTCATCAGGTGCAGCAGCTGCTGCTGCAATTAAAGTGGCGAAAAGACCAGAAAGTGCAGGAAAACTCATTGTTGTAAGCTATATTTGCTTTCATTTACAAATATGATAAATTGAAAATTATAAGCTAAATATATGTTTCCGTTTTTAATATTCGGATTTTCAGTCTGGTCTCTAATTTTTTAAAAGTTTCAATTTCATCCCTAATGTATTAAAAAAAATTCAATTGAGTTCTTATCGTCACAAAGCATTGTTACAGTAAATTTACCCATGTCACATAAAATTAACTGTTTTTAGATTTATATGCCATCATCTTTCAATACTTAATAATTTAAAGGACTTAATTGAAAACAATTCACTATTTAAAGGATGAAAGTGAAACTTTTAAAAGATCAGGGGCCACATTGTAAAAATAGGTAAAAATTGATTTATCTGGTGGTCCATTTGTAGGTGATCTTCCCAAGCTTTGGCGAGCGATATCTGTCGACAACACTGTTCGATTCCATAAGGAAAGAAGCGGAAAATATGACTTATTAATGAGTTGTTGATAGGCTTGAAAATTTGCAGAATTAAATGAAGCGTGTTAAATAGAAAAATTAGGAAAAATGCATATGTTGCTACAAAATTTTAAATAAATTATTATTGAATAAGTATGAATTTTATAGATATTTATGCATAGTTATTAAATCAACCCTACTTTTTATATTATCGAATGAATCAATAAATTGATACTCTTGATTATGAGTGCTGAGATACCAATGATATACTTGATACGAATATTGATATACCATTGATATATTTGTATATCATTTGATATACCTGAAAAATTAGAAGGCTAAAATTGGAATAACTAAAAAGTCAAAAATTAGATTTGAAATATTTTTCCATATCTGCAAAATTCAAAGTTGTTGCTATATTTGAAAATATTAAAAATTTTTAATTATATTTTGTAAAGATTGAACAAAAGTTTGCTACTAAAAATAAATTAAGAGGTGAGGATGTACAAAATTCCTATGAGAATTCTGTTACAAAATTACCCACTGTTACAGAAGGTAAAAACTCTCAATTGAGAGGTGTAAACGGGTGTCATCTGCTTTTTTTCTTCTTCCTTTACTTGTACTCCAACCGAGAGTTTTCTTCAATTTGCTCACTTCTCTCAATTTCTTCTTCTGTTTGCATGTCTTTCATCTAAGAGTGCTGTGAACTGTAAGGCTTCCCAATTGACAGCACACATTCCATGATATCTTTCTCCATTATTTTATAATTTTAGGTTGGAAGAGAGGAGAGAGATGAGAGGAGTCTAGGGAAACATGAGTTCTCCTCTCTCTTTTTAAAATTTAAGAAGAATTGAGATTTTAAACAAAATTTTCAAATCCAACCAAAACGATTATTTTATTTGAGTTGTCATGAATACGTTACCAATTTCAACAAATTCTTAAATTCATATTCAATTTTTGAATTCGGTACCAAACACATACTTGAAAACAGTGAATACATAGAATACAATTCTTGTTTTCATTGGATCCATAGTTTTCAAATTCATGTTTTTAGATCGCCAACCAAACGCACCCTTAGCTACTCATTACACTCCCACATTTTTTATTCTTTCTAAAAATACTTAGATTTAAAAGTTTATGTTAATTTTGTTAGCTCTATGGCTTCAATCAAACCAAATATTTTGATGATCACAAATATGTATAAACTAACAATTTGAGTTTTTCAAAGTGTCTATAGACCTCGAAAAGACAAAATCAATGCCTATCAAATCACTCAAATAGGAGTTTAAACGAAGAAATTATGGTCAAAACAAATCAGGTAAAAAAATCCTACGTGGCGGGTGACATGGACAAGTGGACAAATCCTACGTGATGGGTGACATGAACAAATAGACCGCTCAGAAGTTGACATGTGGCATCGTTAGAAGATGTGTATTGACGTCGTTTCATTAAGAGGCTATTTTTCGTTAAGAGGCTATTTTTAACACAGCAGTTTTTGTAGCACACGAGTTTGGCTGCTGTTATTTTTCAGTTTTTCTCCTTATTTTCAGTTTTGAGGCATCGTGGGTAACTGATATGAACCATGATAGTTCTATTCTTTCTGTATATATATTCATCTTGATTATTGAATTATATAAGGAAGTTTTCTGAAATTTTATCTTGGTATCAGAGCCAAGAAGGCTTACGCTGAAATGACGACCGAAGAAACCAAAAATTCATCTGTTCCTCCACAAGTGATCACAAAAGTTGCTGGCCGAACACCAAATCCTTCACCACAATTTAATACCTCTTTTGGTCATCCCCTGGGCACTGTTTTAACAGTAAAGTTGGATGACAAAAATTATTCTCTTTGGAGAGGAATGGTGCTCGCTGTCTTAAGGGGTCAAAAAGTTGATGGGTATGTGTTGGGAACTTGGCCAAACCACCACAGTTTCTTGTCTCACCAGAAACTGAAGGAACTTCAGAAAATCTTCAAGTGAATCTTGAATATGTGGAGTGGCAAGTAGTTGATCAAGCTCTACTTGGTTGGATTTTTGGATCAATGACTCCTTCTATTGCTTGTGATGTCGTTGACTTCAGAAGTTTAAGAGAAGTATGGAAAGCTCTTGAGGATCTCTATGGAGCAACAAGTAAGGCGCGCGCATAAATCAGTTGAGGAATGTTCTTCAAAATACTAAGAAAACTCTTTGGAGATGTCTTGGATATCTTGAACTTATGAAACAAGCCTTTGAAAGCCTCAAATTAGCATGTGAACCTATTACTTTAAATTATTTAATGTCTTGTGTACTCTCAGGTTTAGAGGCAGAATATCTTCCAATTGTCTGTCAAATTGAAGGGAAGGAGTGTAACGCCCCGAGTCCCTCAGGTTAGTTAGTCTCGAATCAGGAGATTTTTCATTTATTTTTAAATTGATTGTTAATTAAATTTATCTATATTTATCGAGCTCTAAACTCTAATTAAATTCATAATTACCGGACTCCGTATGGTGGGTCTTGTTTTCACGGGGGATGGACTTCTTTTCTCTTGGGCTTGGGCTTGTTAGGCCTCCATTTGGGTTAATTTGGTTTTAAATCAAAGGGAAAGAAAAAGAAAAGAAAACAAAAGGAAACCCTAGCCCAAGTTCTCTTCTTTCTTCTTCTTCTTTCTTCTTACCCTAGCCACCCCCTCCTTCTTGTTGAAAGACCTTCGGCAGCCACAAGGACGTTTTCCGGCGAGGTGCAGCGGCGTTCTGACGGCGCTTCTTCGGATCAAACAGCAGCGGCGACGACGCTGATTACGCTTGTTTACATGCGTAAAAAGAAGGTTTTAGATGCTGTTTTTACTATGTTTCAACTTTGTTTCGGACTTTTTCTCGGTCGTTTGAGTTCCAATTCATACAAAATTCATATATGATGGTTTGTGATTGACTTATATTGTATTTATGACATTTTAGGACCATTTGGGAGTGTAAATTAATCAAAAGAAGCAAAAAGACGGAAATATCTACATGGGAGGCGCCAGGCGCCTGGGAAGGCTGCAAAAACTGTTTTTCTTCCAACTTTGCCCTTAATGAAACGCGTCTTCCAATGCGTTTTGGTGGTTCCAACCGATGCATACGTGTAGAAGAAGTATTCCACTATGAGTTTGAGCACGATTTAGTCAGTCAAAAAAGTTGGAAATGAGTGATTCACCATCGTTTTAGGACCTACCTGACCAATTCTGCACAGCTATAAATTCCAGCAGCTTCTCCACAAAATTCATCAAGCCTTGCTTCCTTCTCTTGATCATTTTTAGTGTTTCTTTGTTGCTTTCTAAGTACTTTTAAGTTGCTTTCATTAGTTGCTTTTGGTTTTTAAATCCCGAGCACTTTACATTCCTTTATTGAGCTTCGTTTTGTTTCCGTTTGTACTTAGTTATTTCCTACCTATTCAAATATATAAAAATCCAGCACTTTGCTTATCTTTCCTTTGTCTTACTTTATTTTTAGTTAAGAGAATTGTGTTTTTGGAGGAAAGAGCACGTGACACTCCCCCTTGCTTGAAAGAGAAGGGCGAAGCTCTCAATCCGGAGCAAAACTCTCCGTTAGTTAACTTTTGTTTTTCACACATGCATTTCAATTTCAACCATTTTACTTGCCGTATTTTCTTCAATATGTCTTTCTAAATTCCCGTCTCTAGCTCGGTTATGGATAGTCAGCCTTTTATTTCTAAAAAGGGTTGCTAAGAAGTAGTGTTTTTTCTTTCCACTCATTGCTCAACATGTTTTCCCAAAAAGTTAGGATTTAGAGAAGGCCACTGTAAGTCTTAACCAGTCAATACTGAAAAGATTGCTTATTTGCATTGTTGAGTGGTTAAACCGAGGAGAGGAGCGCCTTAGACATAAGGGTTCCGGTTAAGTAGCCTAGACATAGGACCTTAACCCGAGGTTGCGACTATTTCCATCCTAAAACTAAGATAGCTCTCATAATAGACATATTAGGGAATGTCTTAGGACTTTGAACTTGCTTAGACATAAGTCAAGTGAAAAGCGTAGTCGTTGGTTTCTAAAGTAAAATGCATATCGTCCTTAGCGTATCCTTGATTCTTTGTTGGATAACTTGAAGTAATTCGGGCTAGGTTTTACCATTATAAGACCAAATCCCAAATCCAAAACCATTATTTGTGACCACTTCCCATTTTAGAAAAATCACTCATTTCAACGTTCACTATTCATTAAAACTTTAGAGTTTGGAAATTATTTAGAAGTCCTTGAGGATTGATACTTGGATACTCCATCCATTTTATATTACTCTGACAGGTGTGCGCTTGCATCTATAGAATTGTTACCACGCTTAGTGCGTGCGTTCAGCATAACCCCAGTCAAGTTTTTGGCGCCGTTGCCGGGGACTTTAGTTTTAAAATTATTTTAAAATTATTTAGTTTTTATTTTTGTGAATTGTTGTTGGGTGTAATTTTCATCCACCGTTTTTGTTCTATATTTTTGGTCGTTTATCTC